TGATTTAGCGAAATGTAGTCAATGGCGAAATGGTGTTACAGTCAGTGCTAAAAGACATTTCAGGCTTAACTTCAGCTCGGATTCGCATTTTAGAGATGACTGAATCATATAATAGTAGGTTTGACTCGAGCTTATGCTTCCAGACTTACATTACTTCCATTAGGCATTAGTACTCTCATCCCCTTTCAGTTACAAGAATTACACTCAAAAAGGGTTTCCATATGGATGTTCACTACCACTCACTATACACATGCTTACAGTGCACTCACATATAGAGCTGTGCTCTCATTTGCCACGAATTGCAGAATTGTTCAAAGAATATATACTATAGTATATGTGCTATAGAATAGAGGAATAGAGTGTCTGTTTAGCAAAGAGTGGAAAAGTATAACTGACTTATAGATAGAGTAGAAAGCGATGCTCTCATTGAAGCCCTCCTGCACTCCAATAAACATATTGATGAGAGACCAGCAGAGAGACAGAGACAGAGACAGCCAGAGAGCAGGAGAGAGAGAGAGAGAGAGAGAGAGAGAGAGAGAGCACTGGTAGCATAGCTTATTGATAAAGAATAGAAAAATTCAAGGAAACGATGACAGCGTAGAGGAAATGTATGTTTATCCTTGACATTCAAAATCTGCTGGTCTCTCATCAATATGTTTATTGGAGTGCAGGAGGGCTTCAATGAGAGAGAGAGAGAGAGAGAGAGAGAGAGACAGTAAGAGAGAGAGGGAGAGAGAGAGGTAGGAGAGAGGCATGAGCTCCGGCAACACACAAACAAACAGCGCCGAAATGAAGCAAAGGAGCTGAGCTTCACTTTATATCAGAGACCCATAATTTGGACCGAAGACGGCGTCTATAGTTTTTTACGCGTTTATGCTGCAAATGCATGCCTTTCCCCGTTTCTATAGCTGTCTTCCCCCACATATTCGCTTCTGTCTTTGGCTCGTATTGTGATGTGATGTGAGTGTGGGGTCAGTGAGGCGCCGAACCGGTAAGAATGGGCCATAATTATTACGTTTGTACTTTCTCTCGGGCTCTAAATGTGAACTGCATGTGAAGTACACCTCGGCTTCAATTCGCAAACTTTATCATCAAAAACCAAATGCTCTCCAACAACTAAACCCAATATCATTGCTATTAATAATAATGCCTCAGACGATCACTTATAACCAAACATTCAGTTCTTGTTTTTTGGTGCAATTTTCGCTAAAACAGTGCAAAGCCTCCAAAAATTCCATCGATAAGTCTCGATCACATCATTTGGCTTTTGAGACAAATTTAAATTAATCTAATTTTTAAGAAAATTATCAATTTTATAAGTTTTGGTATCCACGAATGCATATTTGTATTAACAGTTTCTCAAATTCCCTACTATTCTTAAAATATTCAACATCTGTTTATCTAATTAATTAATTTTTCATTTAAATAACAAACGGAATAGAAATGTAGAATTAGTTTAGTTTCAGTGCTTATTATATGTCTTTTAATTATAATAATTAAATTGAATTTTCCAATCAAAGATGAATCAAAATTGATTTGCAAACTCATTAATACAATGTATTTGGTTTAATTCCAATTGCATTCAATAGGTTTTCATTTAAATCTTATTCTCAAACATATTCACAGTATATGATATACTATATAGAGATAATATATATGTTATTTAAATGAAAAACATGAATATCTGATCTAAGATTTCAAAACTTTCAAATGATTAATGATTGAATAATCCATCAAAACCTAAAACATTTATTTTAAACATTGCTTTTATCAAATCGTTTTATCGATTTTTTCCAAAAGAGATAAATTATATATTTTATGCAAATTTCAATACTATATTACATTGAATAAGAGATTCTGAATAACTGGTATGACAAATATATCTTATGGATTTAATTTTATACAAAATTTTCCCTTTTATTACTCTAATACATTTAGCTATATGTTTGTCATTGGTAAAATGAAAAATCTTTATAATTATGTTCAAATAAATTGTAAACTAAAGATCATGTGAAAATATTTTATTAGTTATTTTCGTTGTTAGGATTTAGTACAACAATTTACAAATTCAGAATAAATTAATAATTATTTTAATATATGATAAAAAGTTTTACAATTAAATAGAAACAAGACTTAAGCGGTGAATGAGATGAATGCTGTGAAAGAAGTGATCATTTTAGACATAAGTCATAGATATGTATTGATATGTTATGTGGAGTTCAGGTACTGTAAGTGTCTAGCATTGGATTGTATGTTCATCTGGAGTGTTATGAATCTGATGATACAGAATATGTAAAAACCAGTGAATGTAAACATATTCTGCATATGAGATAATGCATATAAATTAGAAATTGCATTATTAACGAAGTAGTCATATGTATGCATAGTATGGTTGAGCTCTTTAACGCCTCTGCATGGCACGAACCTTTGCAGTTCATAATTGATAAAACGTTATATTAATGCCTATTTTTCGTGCAAAGGACTCAGTCGAGAGAGAGTTATTCAATTATAATAACCGTTGTTTTCGTCACGAAAAACTTTATTTGAAACAATATACCCAATGTTTTATACGAGCAATACCACTCCGCAGCGACGTTAACGTACCTGAGCCTTAGTAAATTAATCGTGGTCCCCAGTGAGACATTAGTGCGCCGGCATTAGACCATATTATGCACATATCATACCATAAGCTACACGTGCGGCACAACACTGTACAGCACTGTACGGATCACTCTTTTTTATGGCTATCACTGCTCTGCTCTCCGCGACTAAAAAAATCCTCAAATGAATGAATGAATAAATGAATGATTTTTCTATTTTCTATTTCAGCCCACAATTGAGACATGTTTTGAACAAATCTTTTCAATATCGCTGTGCAAGCGCTTGTGTTTAAGCTTAAAGCCCTACACTTTAGCTGATATGTGATGTGCGATGCGGTCCATACATGCCGTGTATATGCATTGACGGAACCCCAGAGTGTCCGGACCCACCCATTCCATGCGCTCGACCAACGTTTAAGGCCAGCAAAAGTCAATATCACATCGTATGGCACTCATAGCACTGCACGCGCCCTGTTTTGGCCATTATTTGAAAGCCTCTCTAAACATATTTCTGTAAAACCTTTTGAAAAATACTTTTTCCGCAGAAAGAAAGAAAGCAAACTAAACAATGGACTGTATTATTGATTGCAAACAAAAATATTAGTTTTTGTGAATAAGAGAGTGAAATGAGACAAATGAGAGGGTTTTAGGCGAACGATTAGAGCCGTGAAAGAGCTCTCAAAAGCATTCCATGAAATGACTTAAGAATCAAATACTCACTCCTTGTCTGAGTTGTCCAGCAATGAGATGACAATCATTTGAATGGAGAGTAGAAACGCTGTAAATGTGGACCATTTGTTGGGATGAGTCGCTGGTATCGATGTATTGACGCTCAGCTCTTCTCACACAACAACCCAATGATAAACTGAATTGAAGAGCATTTCGTTGATCGGGACTCTTATTACTAGATATACCTGATGTGCGAGTTGTGGGCAACGCATACATCAGTGTTAACCGCTTGCACTGTTTGACTCAAACCAAATAACAGGTCCTTTCATATCAATATATAAGACCTTCTCTTTGAAATAATTAACATAATTTCACTCATTTTCAGAGCAATTCCATACAATATAACTACAAATTAAAGAAACTATAATATTAAGGCACTATTATTATAGACACAACACTAGAATTATACGAATTATACAACAATTCTCTACTCTATTCTGAATCAGTGATGAGCAGGTTCTGCATGCTTTTCATGCCCTACACTCACGCCTGCCGTCCATACATCCATACAGTCGATCACACCATCGTTTCACTGATCATTTCGGTTCAACACAATTATCCTTAACACTAATGTCTACCTGTATTACAGTTACATAATTATTATAACTTTCTATTCATAATTTGAGTTAATTATGACTTTTTAAAGATGTTTTTCAACAAAAGTTAATAAACCTCAACACAAAGAGAGTCTATGAATCACTTGTATTATGAAAAGAATCCTAATTTGTCCGATAATGTTCAAGTTAGTTTTTATTTTATTAGGACTTTAAACTATGCAAAAATTTAAGCTTTAAATTTGTTACATAAAATAATTTCATCAAAAATATAATATTTTTCTTTATATGACTTTTAGTCTCTAAACCAGAAAATATATTATTTTTACTATTTTTCATTAAAGCTGTTCATAAGATTAGATTATTATAAATTGGGTTATTCTCTATAAAGTATTGATTAAAATATATTTATTATATTATATTTGTAGATATTAAATAAAAAATATAAAAAACTAATTTATAAAAAGTCATAATGTTTTACAACAATTTCCTGATTTGAGTTTAAGTAGATATTACCGTAATTCTAAATTCCTATAAATTAACTTTGTAAATTTCACTAGTAATTTGATGTTAAAATATTAATAATAAATTTAAAATTTAGACACAACACAATTTATTAACTAAATTTTGTTGAAATTTCTTATAGACCACAAGGAATAAAATACATGCTATTTCTAATTGTGAATTTATAATACTCAAAATATTGTACCTTACTGGTATATAAAAATTGAAATTATAGTACTGTTTTTCTCTACACAATTGAATTGTAACGGATGTATTTTACTATTTAAATTGTTAACTATTCTTGGAATAAGTCAAGTTTTAACTTTTATAAGTCATCCTTAAAGATATACTAATCACTCGTTTAATTTAAAATAATGTATTTTTATTACTTTGGTTAAGATTTTGTCCATCATTTTCAAATAAAATAGTTGTCTTAAATATAGATATAGCCGTCATAACTAATGTACACATTACGCCTATTAAGCCATATAGAACCACAGAATGGACATTTCATTATATTTATACATTAAATAAGTTATATTAGATGGTATTTGTAATTATAATCCATTTGTAACTATGACATGCACTATAAATAATGAAAAATAATAAATACTTTGATTTCAAAACTTCTTTATTTATTGAGTGAATGATAATATTTTGAATGAACACGAATTAATTTATTATTATTAATATTATTATTATATACAGAGATTTGTTTTATACAAAAGGATATTCAGTTCAAAAGACAATTTATAACTAAATGTTTGAGGGCTCGCACTCGGAGTACAGGCGCCAGTGGTATCAGTGCTATTGAATAGAGCTTTGGTTAGTACTGAGTGGCAGACCTGTCGGAACTGTAGCCTTAACTGCTTCCTTCCCGGCCTGGCCTCACATGTGATGTTTTGCTCGCTATGTATGGTCCGGGAGGTTGTGAACAGTCATTTGAATGAAGTATAGAATTCAATAGAATATAATCAAGTAATTCAACGCTTGAATCACAGATCAGATCAATATATTTAATAATAGTTTTCAATTTATGAGATATTGGCCAGCATTTGGTTATGTAAGCAATTGCTGGTTCATAGAGGGGTCGTGTTGATGGTGATACCACGAGTACTGAGGCATATAACTGTTACTCATCGCCGCCGCCTTGGCTGAACCCATATCCCAGGCCGTGATGGGCGGACTCATAGCCGGCGGACTCACTGCTGTGGCGATCGACGAGTTACTGCCCGGTACTGACGTGCCTCCCGGGCCCACCGGCAGCAGTGGCGGCGGACCAACGCTTGGCGGCGAATGAGTTTCCGGCGTCTCGGGAGGTGTTTGAGGTGTCGAGGCGGCTGTTGGCGGTCCTAATGAATTGGCCGAAGTTCCCGATGAGTTACCGGGACCGCCCTGAGAGTTGCCGCTCTGGCCTCCGGGAGGGCCCGAACCTCCCGACTGCTGAGCCTTCAACATCTTCTTGTATTTACTCCGTCTGTTCTGAAACCAGATCTTCACCTAAAATACCGAAACAAATATATTTTTCGTTAGATTTCTAATTCACTATTTATAAAACTTTCGACTGAATAATAAACGAAAATAATATAAAACTATAACTTTTCTAACCATAAAACCCAAAACAATGAATAATTTGCTATTGAATGAGTTTTTTGTTTTTATTTGATTTTCAAATGAAAGGCCGTTTTGATAATAAAGGCTCAAACAATAAGAGTCAAAGCAATGAAATATAAAATAAAAGGAAAATTTAATTTCCATGAAAAGTTCTTTGAATATTTGATAAGTTATTTGTAGTAAAATTACTGAATTAACGTGAGTGTAAAATATTATACCTTTTTATTATATAAGTTATGTGCAAATTTTCCGCTTGTAAAAATAGTATTATTGACTTTTTTGTGTTAATTAAGTCTTACATTTTTACAAATAGTTTAAACACATATTAAAGCATCAATAAATTTAAAATAAGATACGCTTATAATTAAATGAAACCTGTGTTCATTGGGACTCATAATGAAACAAATCGAATATTTATCTTAATTATGAAACTTTTCTCATATTAATGATTAAATTAATACATTGTAAGTGAGTATTAATTGTTTAAATACAGAGCGTTTAGTATATTATATAAAAAAGAACAATTAAACAAAAATTGTATTATATATTATATATAACTTATTAATGAACATAATATGATAATAATTCTTCTTTTGAAATGTTTTGAAGCTTTGCTAATATTTATGAAGTGCTACACATTCTCTCTCTCTCTCTCTCTCTCTCTCTCTCTCCTCACTCACTCACTTTCCTAGTATATGTGGTGCGCCTAAACTTCACTCCACTCTAAGCCAAAGGCAATTAGCAGTGAAAGGGAAGATAAAATCAAAGCATCTATTTGTTGACAAATTATTCTCTCAATTGTTATTTAAATTTTTCTTCAATTCTCTCAATTTGTATTATTTTAGTGTAACTTTTGTTACATATTATGATGAATATACATATAGAAGAATATATTTGTTCAAAATTGGAAACATATTTAACCAAAAAAAGTGAAACCGGTATCAGACAGGATGGCCTTATAGCCTGAGCCAAGAGCATACATACATTTGTGTATATATTCTATAGAGATATTGTGTGTAAACCAAGGAAAACATGCTCCAAAATGGGAGGAAACCTGAATCTTATTTTTTTTACATCGAATAGTAATGATAATGACTCGGATGGCGGTGATGATGATGGCGTCTAAGAGAATAGAGCCAAAGGCTATAACAGCTAACAGCACAAGAATACAAGAACACCACTAACTGAGAAAACATTAGAGAGAGAGAGAGAGAGAGAGAGAGAATGTGTAGCACTTCATAAATATTAGCAAAGCTTCAAAACATTTCAAAAGAAGAATTATTATCATATTATGTTCATTAATAAGTTATATATATGATTCCGAGTCCATGCAATTGCAGCGACGCCTCACCATAACGAGCATATTTTGTAACCCATATAACAAAGTTTATTTCAAAAAGCACTGCTTTTGTTGCCAATAATATTAACTTATAGAGAGAGAGAACGAGAGAGAGAGAGAGAGAATGGGAGAACACAAGGCTGTTAATGTCTTTTTTGCAGCTCTTAATGTACTTTACGACCTTCGGCAGACTCAGGCATATTAGGCATATTCAGGTATATTTGATCCGACACTCACTACTAATACTCTGGTGGACTAATCGACTAAATCTATACATATTACACACAATTACGGCAATAATTTAGTATGAATACCGGTATAATAAGATAGCGATATTGAATGTCCACAAACACAGTGCCATTATTGGAGCACTGGTTAATAGGGCATAACGAATGGTAATATAAGGCAATATACAGATACGATTGAGTATATGGTATACGGTTTGCGCACAATAAGGCTATAGAGACAGTGTATAAGTCGCCATCAAATGACAACTTCCTCTTGGTTTGTGCTAAAAGTGTGGAAAATCCAGAACTCTTATGCTGTTATGGCAAACGGCGCTCAACTAACTCATGAAAAAATGAAAGTTTTCTCAACGAAATAATTTCTTAGTATTTTTCAATTTAGTTGAGAACTCATGGCATAAAAGTTTGGCTCTCAATGTATTTTCTCAAACAAAAAACAATTTCTCCTCCTTTGACACTAACAATATAACAATAGTATTCACTGTAAGAATAGAGACTCTCTTCTAAGCGGCAAAAAAGATTATTTATAAAACTTTTTTCTCATTTTAATACTTAGTTTGGTATAGACCTCAAGGACAGAGAGTTTGATCTTGAGTTTGGATTTTTACAATTAAATATTTTTGATTTTATTCCTCATTCACAGCACACGCTAAACACATTAAAGGATAGAAGAAATCTTTTTTCAATAATATGAATGCAAAACAAAGATTAGCATTCATTCGGGTGCTTACGTATAGCATGCAAATAGGCATTACTTGCCATAACTCATACAAAATATCATACGAATTGAGTCTCACTTTGTCTCTAAGTATCACTTTTTACTCGTATGTAAAATGCTATGAATTCGGGGCGTCAACAGAGCCTCGCAGATGACATTTCCCTTGCATTAGCCTCTCGTGAATCCGTTTGATTCAAATAGAAATATACAAAACATACGCTTCTCTACTAACACAGTATAACTCGTATACAGTAGTGTGTGTCCAATGAATTAATCTATAATAGTAGAAATTGTGGCAAAATTTGTCGCAACTGTTCCCACTCTATACAGTAGTTTCAAGTATTTTCACTAAAAATTGCTTCATATTCAGTGTACTATCGGTTTCCAATAAAATTCGAGAAAACATTTGAATGCATAAACCAATGAGAATATGGATTGCATTGAACACAACACTGTATACAACAAACAGTGGGAAACTAAACATATTTTTTGTGCTCCTGTAGATCAACTCAAATACAAGAAATACATTTTTTGAGTGAAGTATGCATTGGTTTTATGATACAAATACTGTCAGAACATAACATGAAATGCATTTCCATTGCTAGAGCTATGATCGACATAAATGGCATGAATTCAGTCCACACTCTCCCTATGCTTTATGTAAATGTTTTTCTGTACAAAATGTTTATGTTTTATATATTTGTTAAACTTGTGTTATGTTTGGAAGAGTTTGCGTGAGTTATGATACGATTTGAATATATAATTAAAGCACATATTTGTTGTAATTAAAGAACAAATTAAAACAATAACTTAGTGTTGCTATTGATTAAATAAATCATAACATTTCCTAATTAATAAATAATTTCTTTTATTCACTTTTACTGAATAACATTTCTTGAATTCCTATTTCATTGAGAAACTATATTAAATGCATTTGTAATAAAACATCTTATGAAAGTGGCCTGTATGAATGATTAGAATTTGCAAATCTAATACTTAATATTGAGTACTCTGTAAAAAGTGAAAGGCATGGGAATGGGATGTAAAGTATTAGAGAATTGAATTAAATTGAATTGAAAAGAAAGGTAAATATAATGTAATGTATAGCTCAATATAAGGCTCAATGTATGGCTCAACGCATAGCTGAGGTGATGAGAGTCTGGAGTCCTGAGTGTTTGGTGGGGTAGGAAAGCCTCAAATATTAATCAGGTTGTTATGTGTTTATGAAAATAATTATTTTATCACATCTAAAATAAGTGGCGCTTTTTTAATAATAGCGGAGCAATTAATGGGATAAAGCCTTTCCACACCTCATAGAGCACTTTCCGTAAAGTTGGTAATCAACGTCATTGTAAGCCGTAATAAAAGTGAGTATCCCTGCAATTAGCGCCCACAACACTGCTTATTAGATGGGAAGACTATAATAGAGAGTCGGGATTTAATAAGAAAACATGTTATATGATTACATACATAAATGCTTGATTGAGGTGACGCCTCACTCTCTTAATTCTGGCTTTACTTAAGCTATTAATTTATTTCTTATAATTAATTGATTTATGGCTACTTTAAGGGATTGATATGAAAATCTTAAATATAGCTCACAATCATTATAATGCGCTTAATTAGATAATCATAAGACAAATGTTTTGTTTACAGTCATAAATAGCGAGGTAATGAAAACAAATATACAAATGGATTACAAATAGGTAAAGAGAGTGTGAAAGTGAATGAGTTGTTGTTTGCATTGCATTTGGAGTGAGTGTCGAATAATTGTGAATCAATTGAAAAGAAACTGTTTGTGTAATTTGTAAGCTAACAAAAAAACGGGACAATAAATTTTGTGTAAAACATGTTATTGTTGCTAATGTGACAACTTGTGACTATTGGCAACTGTTCCCTACAGTTCCCTACAGTTCCTTACAGTTCCCAGCGCTGTGTTCCCACTCTTCCCACAGTTGGCAGTGGTCTGAGAGGAGTAAGTGTTTGTGCCGTAGCCGTGAGTGAAGTGCTATTTACTGCAAACCTCATACAGTGTTATCGTTTGCTTAATGTAAATGTTAATAGATTGACAATTTATGATCGCATTGCTAACACTTAAAAGCCTGGCCACCACTCTAGCACTCGCACCAGTACTCGACTGGTGAGTACTGTGGAGTGAGGAGAGGGCACTGAGTAGTCTGTAACTAATGAACCCATAAAGCCTGGCTGTCATGATGATGATGAGTGTCATTTATGTGCCTTTGCCGATGGGATACCTATTCTAGTGATGAGACCGTCAGCAGATCCGTCACTCAGTGCTACACCACTTCACCACTGGAGCACTTGTTGCTCACATTATCACAGCCTTGAATGCCTGAACCAGGAATGCCTGCTGTGCTCGAGAAATCAACTAAACAATGAGTGCACACCATCTCAGAGATGAGTGCTTATGAGAGATAGTATGAGATACAAGACGCAGCACCACCACCTAATACACTGTATTGTTCAATGGCTAGTGCACTGTAGCAATGCACTGTACTTTGTATTGTTTTCTATGTATACTATGTATGTATGTATGCATTGTATGCTTGATTTTCATTTACATACTTTCGCTTTTGTTGTTTTAGAGCCCACTCTTTGGCACAAACTTATGGATACAGTGATTGAATAGTGATCTCAAAGATAACCTACATTTCACAGTCTAAGTCATTGAGCAATAGAGGCCTTTCAATACAGGTATCAAAAGCAGTGAATATAAACACAAATAAAAACAAAACCTATTAATCAAATTAGTGTTACCTGTGTTTGGGTTAGGCCTAGAGATGCTGCCAGTTCTGCTCGCTCTGGTAGTGCTAAGTATTGGGTCCTTTGAAATCGTCTATTGAGTTGTTGGAGCTGAAGACTCGAGTAAATGGTTCGGGGTTTTCGCATTTTCTTGCCCTTTCCGTTCACTCGCAGTGTCTCTTCCAGACCACTCTTATCTGCAAACAAATCACAATCACATTCAGTCATAACATATCAATCATTCATTACATTTACAACAAAAATATTTGTTCTAATTATAAGTTAATTATAACTAACAGTTAGTTTTTGTTTTGTTTTTTGCTAATTATTTGCAAATCGAGAATATTTGATAAAACATTAGATTTATGCCATTAGATCGAGCGAACATAAAATTCAAACACAAAACTGATTTTGAATAAAATATTGTATAAATATATCATATATTTACAGATCCTAATCTATTTGGCACTGTTATCCACAGCACAACAATTCATTGCTTAAATTAGATTCAATACAAACACCACATTATTTACTCTTATGTTATTGAGTCACGCGATCCCCTCTTTCCTATCATTTGCTTTGCAGTTCTTCTTCGCAAATATTTTCAAATGATTTTCCTCTAAAATACAACCAATTCTTTGTTGCATTCAATATACAAATACTGAATATTCTAATGAATCGCATTTTAAAGCATCAATTCAAAAACTTATTTTATACTCTTTACTGTAATTTATTTGATTCATAAAACACAACAATAAATCTTGCATAACTTAACCATCAGATCTAACTAATCATTTCATAGAGAGTTGCGTTTAAAGTGTTCAATAAAAGTCAGTTCTAATTGATACGAAACTTAATATAATTACAACAAAACATAAGCAAACTTTTTCTTTAAAGTTAGCTTAAATTCAAATACTTCTGTATCGCTTAATTAACTATTTATTTATTTAATATATTTTAATGATATGAAAATTGTATTTATATTATATCTAAATTTACATTTAAGCTCTAATCGTATATAAAGTATTATTTGTGTATGAAGTATAAAATTGGTGTTTGCCCTTAATGGTAAAACAATTTGCGCGATTCAACGCAAATATTTTATACAACAAATAATAAACAAATTCTTGTGACATATTATTCTGATGACTGTTTTTTGTGAGTTGATATTATAGTTGAGTGCATTAATAGAAAAGGGAAAACATAAACCTATAATTTTGAGGGTTCGGTCCAATTATAAGTGAATGAAATTCATGGAGCAGTTGAGTGCTTCCGACACCCGCACCACATGTCTCATACGTGATGCTCACTCTATTCACATCACCTCATCATACAGTCCACAGTATAATACAATCTCATCATCGATACTAATCTAACACTACTTTATGACTCTTTTCAATTTAGGTACAAATTTTATGATTACATAATTGTTATCAAATTGATTTGGTAGTTATTTAACTTAAATGAAAACATATAAGATCTAATCTAATACTAGTACAGTATAACAATTATAATATAAAATTTGTCCACTATGTTAAACATACTTTTTCATTGTTTATGACTAAATCTTAACACTTTTAGTTTAAAATAAGTAAAATGTTCAATTTGTAAAGAATTGCGAAAAGTTTGGATTTCTTGTGGATAATGTTTATAATTGCGATTAGAAATGCATTCAATTGTTTGCATTTCAAGTACAGTAAACCTAGTATTAGAAAGTGAGAGAAAGCTTACCATCTCTTGGAGGTGATGGACAGGGAGCACATGTAGTCACGTTTGGTGGATAAGTGCTGAGATATGGGTGTCCGGTGTGATGAGAGTATGTGTTATGAAGCTGTGAGTTATTCATTGAGAAGGGATATGCACCTAACGATCGTTGCTGTCCCGCAGCGAATGCCTCGTGAGCTGTGTTTTGAGCGGAGTATGAAGACCTGATGGAACTGTATGCCTGGTGGTGAGGCATAGTCAGGCCCGCAGCAGCTGCTTGTTGTTGGATGTCCATGAATGCCGACTTATTGGTGATGCTGTCCTGATCCAGACCATCCACTGTACCCATACTCGGGTAAGTGGTAGAGAAGTCCGCAAAGTTCAACGTGTTTGCAGATTACAGACACTTATGAGAAGTCAATTCAATTCCGAGACAACAAACACAACAATCGCGAGCAAAGCCAGAGATTCACCAAAACTTATGCTGAGATAACACACCTCTTCGAGAGACACACCGTTCCCAACAACTATTGTTTGTATTTTAACACGAAATTACTCTTCGCATCGGAATATTGTCTCTTCTTAGCGATCAACAGCTTTAGACTAACGCAACCGCCTCTCAGCCGACTGGCCGTAATCAGCATCACATGCATGCATTCGCACCGTCAGTACGGCTACACCACGGATACACCCGACCTTCTTATACACGCGCTCTCATTGGTCGCTCAGCCATTCAGAAGCCCTTCTCGGCTATGGAGACAGCGGTGGGGAACCACTCCTTCCACTGTCAATCACTTGCGTAGTCAACCTCCCCATGGCCTCCAGGCAACTGCACCTTCACGTATACACGAACCACACTATTCCTATGTATGCCTTTTCATGCTATCCATGCTATCCATGCTATCCATGCTATCCATGCTATCCATGCTATCCATGCTATCCATGCTATGCCTTACTATTCCTTACTATGCCTTCCACTGTAAGCCTTACAGTGTATGAGACTCTACTCCAGTCACTACAGTGCATGCAATACATGCAATACACGCACACTTACAGTACATATCACTGCAGTCTCTCTATTGTAATTCTCATACTTTAAATCTCCACCAAATCAACACTACATTACACACAGTATTTCATATATTTTTAACCATTTTATAACCAATTCGTACAATCATATAATTGCTGAAAAGTAAAAATTATTGTATCAATGCATTCGTTTTTTGACAATATTTTGAGCCCAATATTTAAATGTTGGTATTATTTTGTCACTTACCAGAGAAAAGGGTAGTGAATGAGAAATAATTATAAAATTAAGTCAACTGTTTTAGACCGTTAAGTCTTAAGGAAATACATGCTTGGGTTACGCAATATTTGCAGTGTATGTGCTCTGCAACTGTAAGACTCATTGTATTACTAATCGCAATGGAAAGGCACGCAAATTCAAATTTATGTGCTCTCATGTCATTGTCCTTTATTAATGGACATCATTTGCCTCCGAAAACACTTATTAATCAATTCAGAGCCAACATCATTGAATTCATGTCCAAACCTTTTTTTTGTTGTTTTAATTAGTTGGCTTATTGTAACATTAATTGAAATGAATGTTCAAAAAGTTTAATAAGCAGTAATTGTTTGGACGCAAACTAATGAGCAAAATAAGCGCCAAAATAGTTAACAAATAGATGTTTGCTTTGAATAGAATTAAGAGAATTTCGGTCGAAATGTCTAATTCGGCGACTCTTCAAGTGTTGAGGACTTCAATGGTTAGTCTCAGAGAAGGCTGAGTGAAGAAAAGAAAAGAGGAGGATAGCAGGCATAGGAGGGATAGGAGGTACTCCTGGCGCCAGCGCTACGGCTTTGATGGGCTCTATGTTTGGCTTTTAGAGTATTGCGACTGAAAGGCAAGGCATCACTACTACAGCCAAATAACAAATGGTTTGGCAGTTCTTCATGCCTTCTATCATATACTTCATATACTTTCGGCGCTAATCAATCTTTGAGTGACATAATTATGTTCACTATTACTATAACTCCTATTAGTATTTCAGATCAAACTTTGCATTAATTTATGTGAAAAATGTAATTAATAACGAATCCCTGCAACTACTCATTCGCGCAGCCTATCTCATCTCAGCTGCCAGTCCTGTGGAACGGTATTAGAAGTGAAAACAAAATGCTAAGAATGAGGGATACAATGAACAGTACGGTAGAGTAGAAGAGTATCATATTTGCAAACAGTGTTTGAGTTATTAGATAAGACATGACTTTGGTGGTGGAGGGTATGGCATGTATGGGCAACTATCACTTTCGCATGTATGGCAATACAACAGTAGGCACTAAATAGTAAAAGCAATTTGTTCGGAATAGCATTATATTCGGTGCTGACTGACCCGTTCAGTCGCCACTCGTGAATCTTCACTCCCATACAGACATACACTGCTTGCCATTGCCTCTCAAACCTCTCATACCATACATATATTGCAACTTAAATCTACAGTACAGTACATACGCCAAACATATAAGATATGATATGATATTAGTTAAAGTTTAAGCACGAAACCAGGCGTCACCGACAGCTACGCCCCCCGATATTTGATTCCTTTCCAGGCGGTCAGCGAAAAGTTTTCTTAACATTCGTGTACTTTTATTTTTGCTCACTTTTTATTAGTAGTATTTTATTATATTTCATGAATTTTATGATGAAGCTGGAATAATGCCATTTATAATGCTATGATTCATAAACTGTTCATTAATTCATTAGAAATTATTAATAATAAATAAAAATTATTTTTTTTCTTCAATCATGTTATGAATTCAGAAATATATGTTTTAAAGGTTTATTGAATCGATTGGCTTTAGATTTATGGCATCGCTTAATTTATAGCAATATTTAGTCGCAATCTAAGGTTAATTTGAGCATGTACACGTATGTTATTCCCGATTCTCGTCGTTGACTCGAATTTTGCAAAACAACAACAAAATTCATTTTTCTTGGTTTTGTCTGATGAGAATTCGCTCGTTTCTAATCATATAATAAATCTTAAATATGAGTGCAGTTCTAATGTTAAGCAAAGCAATACCAGTTGGTTTTGCTACTTTCATAGGGGCTATGATCTACATGTTCTCTCTCTCTCTCTCTCTCATCCCTCTCTCCCTCTTTTTCATATTTTATACATTACATGCATTTTATAACATTGAGTCTAAGAAGTAACTCTGAGCCCAATTTTGATGCATTATTGGCCATTAAAAACTGCCAGAAGATTATTATTAATTAGTATGACGTCAGGCACTGTTCACTGGTATCCCAGGCTTACAGTGGAGTTGGAGTTGAATGGAGTGAATAGAGATGAGGGCATATAAATCAACATTACATTGAGATATTATTCTCATATAAGCCCTGTTTGTTGTGCACAGAAATTATGCTTTCATTAGAGCACATAATTTATTTCAATTAAAACTATATATAATTCCCAAAGAAAATAAAATTAAAAAATAAAATTTTATAAACAAAACATATTTAATCAAATTATGAGATATCAGTTATAAATATATTATGCATCTAAAGCATTCTTATAAATAATTATTTGGGAATTAACATTTTGAGAAATATTTTACACATTTTTCTAAGAAATTAATCATTTTCTGCAAAACTCGATGTGTATAACGAGTACATCAAAGTGTAGGCACAAGAGGTATAAGTATTGGCAGAATATCTCTTATAACAGAGTTTGTTGGGAATGAGCCCTTCATTGCGGGAACAGATGTAATGTTATCTGAAAACAATTCGCTTTTTATAAGTTTGTGATACAACACAACATACAAGCGCTCGAACCCACGCATCCCATACTCTATGCAAGCATTTCAATGTTTCAATGTATGTATGAATGAGGCTAAAGGTGAGCGACAAATGCATCTCTTTGTGGGTGGAATTGATAGATGAGAGACTCAATGAGTGCTATGAGTGCTCACAAACATCACAAATGACTTACAAACTACAGATATTACATAATCTCGAAATAACTGAATCATTTGTCCCAAAAACATTTTTTATATTCTGTTTTGCATTTATAATAAACTAAAAAATATGCTCTGTATATAAATTTGAATTTCCAAAAACTTTATAAAAATTTTTAAAACTACATTTGCAAAGTTTGCAACTTAACAATAGAGAGAGAGAGAGAGAGAGAGAGAGAGAGAGCTACTAAAACTACTCTTATTACAACTATTGAAAGTGTTTGCATTCATAATACAGAGTGAGAGCGAAACGAATGGACTTTTATAACGAAATACAACTATTGGAGTATTGTTTGCATTTCATTGTATTATTCCTATGGACTACAAAATTCTCAAATGGTTTCAAATGTAGTCATATTTTCACACAAAAATCCAACAAATGCTATTTTAATCAATAAATCACAAATATTTTTAATTACAATTTATTTTAAAATATTTTTAAAAAATTATTTCTATTTTAAATTATCACTACTTTTTAACTTAATATTATTAAACCTAATTTTCACAATCTTTAAAATATACAGTATATTATATAGAAACAACTAAAACCATTTATTTGTCAATTTGTTTTGACAATACAATCAGAGGTGTCTGAAATTTAATCGGCAGTTGTTTTTAAAGTTAAATTTTATTCGTTGTGTAAAAATCTATCTTTCTAAATTACCATAAAATCATTCAATCATTTTGTTTATTAAATTCAATTTCAATTCATTAAACTTTATAATTAATTCAGATCCGATTTATACCCCGCGGACATCACATGTTATTGTACCAGTGAATGCAATTTTCACAGCAGAATCAAATTTCACTATTTTTCACCACTTTTTATTGATCCACTTCTGTATTAGAATTTAAACCAAATCTCCTGGTTTCTATTCTCTCTCTCTCTCTCTCTCGCTCTCTCTCTCTCTCCGGTGTTAATATCAAATTGCACTTAAATGACAAAGGCAAAGATTTTTGAGTATCGATACAATATTTAAGATTTAAAACTTTTATTTGCGGTGTATTTCTGTGTAAAGTAGTTTACTTATAAATGTTTTAAAAGAGGTCAGAGTTTACCAGACAGTATATGTTTTTTAGTATATTAAAGTAAAATAAATTTAAAAGTAGTAAATAATTATTTAAATATTCAATAAAATCAATGTCAAACTCAATAATGAAATTGAAATTCAAAATAATATGCCTTCTAGTTATACTCTGGCAATAATTATGAAAATAATTATTAATTTTAAAATTAATTTATACTGTTTTGTATGTTTAAACAAAATTTTTATTTTATCAGTTACTGTTAGATATTAAACTTATATATTCTATTAAAATAAACAAAACTTTTTAAATTTTAAATAATTTAGTAGGCATTTAAAATTTAAATAAATATGAAATTTAAAATTACTCGATAAATACAAAATTTTAATTAAATAATTAGTAAAATAGGAACTTTGATTTGCATAATACAGTATATTACTTGTTTTTTAACATAAATAACATTAATTTAAAAATAATTATTAGAAGCATTTTATTAATATTAAACACTAAATGATGTTTTAATAAAGTGATCGTATATATTAATATAATATCTAGTAAAATAACAATTAAGCATTTGGTAAATACTATTAGGCTAACAATCATAGTTAAC